CAGGATATTCTGTATCCTTTAGATACATTAATCTCTACAGATAAGGAACACATCGATTAGGCAAAATGAAGAATCACTTTTTGTCTTTTATGTTTCTCATTGCATTATGCGTAGGGTTGACCATCACCAAAACAAAAAATTCTGTACATTTCGAGAATGATCTTGGTCGAAATAATACTTTGTTGATTCATTGTGTATCGGAAGAAAACGACTTTGGCAACCATTTTTTGAGTCCTGGACAAACTTACGTTTTGAGTTTTTATGATAGTATTTTGGGAACCATAATATATTGTGGTTTAGAACAGAGGCTTGGTAGATTTTATGCAAAGTTCATGGCATATAAAGGTGGTGGGTTTATAAGACATTATGGTAAGATGAACTTTTGGTACGCGAAAGAAGATGGAATTTATTTTACCCATGGTAAAGATGTGCCCAAATTAGAGTATAAGTGGCAAAGTCCTTAGTCTCAAATAAAATATAATCTAGATTATCTTTATTTTATCTGCAGTTTTCTATCTATTTTGGAATGGATACCTATTGAACAAAATATTGCAATCATATTTATTGTCTTTGTGACTATTAGTCTATTTGTTTAGATAAAAAACTGTCAAAAACAAAACGTTGGAGAAAGACTTCAAACTCATGTTTTTAAAAATTTAAGCATTGTGTTTTCAATTTAGTGGGGGCACTGGTTTATGTAATTTAATAAATTTGAGAATCAATTTGTTATTGGTTCTATAATATTAAAATTCATGTTCAAATCTAATGTTATTGGAGTCATCAAAACAATGTAATTTCTGGCAGGATCGGGTGTGGACCGTGTGGTTATCATCTTCTCACTCCTCTCAATAATTTTCTCGTTACTTCTTGTTGGAGTGGTTCATTATCTGTTTCTAGTGGCATCTTTGAATTTCTCTGTACTATGTTATGCCTCTTCGGAATTGATATTTCAAATAGTGTTAAAAGAAAAAGAGAAGTCTGATCAAAAGAATATTATTTGGATATATATAATTTAATCTTTAACATTGTTTCCTATCTATTTTGGTTTCCTATTATCATACAAATTATGTGATTCCAGCAATTATGTTTTTTTTTTTTTTGAAACTTATTCAAACAATTATGTTTCAAATTATATCTGAGTTATGTTTGTGTTGGATTATTTTTTTAACAAGAGAACTGGAGTAATGAAACTGAGTTATCAAATACAATTTTTGACAAACAAATTTTTACTCTTTTTTTTTKTTYTKKWCAACTAACAAAATCTTACTCTTATATGTCTTTACATTCGAAAAACAAAATTAATTACACTTTATAAAAATCGACAATGTTCTACTAAGTCATGATCATATGTGATGATTGAATCATCATCATCTTGATACGATTATCTTCCTTAAATCTTGCTTTCTCTTTCATTTTTTGGACTTCATGTAAGAGAACAATTTCTAAGTTAAGGCGAAACTGAATATTGTTTAGATTAATGATAGAGAACATATACAAAATACCTCATTAAATGAAATATTATTGGTTACA